TTAACTTTTGATACTTTAAAATGTTAAGAGCCTTGTCCGGTCACCGTGCTAGCCGAATCCGTCGCTTGCGACGAAGGGCTCGACGAGTAAATTAACCGATAGACACAGCCCATTGAGTTTCTCGCCGGATATTCTCAGTGGGTCGCGTTTCCGATCCGGTGGTAGATTCTGCGAGTCACTGCTCTTGCTAGGGCCAGTGCTAGCAACACTCCGGTTTGAGCCCCGTGAGTTCAGCTACACTTCAAGGAGAAGCTAAAATAGCCTCTCAAGGCTATCAGCATAGGTAGTAAAAAATATCCTTAAATAAATATGCATGATTATAAGATAAAAATTTTTTGCACTTCCGCACAATTACAATATACATAATTTATTTATTGTTTTAGTATCACCTATATCTTGTACTGGTTAAAAATATCACAGGAAAAAGTATATAAAATATATATAACAATGTCCTATAATTCACAAGTTTGTGCTTGAAACCAAGAGAACAGCCTTTATAGGATGAAGATTTTAATCTCAAGGTAGGGTTCGATGACCATTTAACGCTTCTTCTTGTACTTACCCTTATTCCATAATATCTAGGTTCAGCGCAGCATGTCATTGTACTGTTATCGCGTCGTTTAGGGATTAGGAATGAGTTTTGCGATAATCACTTAAAACCACCCATCTACGAGTAATAAAATAAAAAAAAATTAAGATATTTCAATTTTCCATTGTTTCTCTAGTTCATGAGTAATCGAAAATTCACTTTGACGGTGTCGATTAACTGACAATTTACTTAGAACTATGTAGTGTCGTTTCAATCAGTACTTGAAAGATCCACAAATGTATCAATAACGTAAATAATTAGATTTGGTGAAGCCTCAAAGTTTTTAAGCCTTTGAGAATTCGAGTACGCACCGCCAAATATTAATCGTGTCGCGAAAACCTAAACAATGTAATATTTAGGTCAAGGATGCGCTCGGATTGTCACAGATTACGAAAACTTTTGATCAACTTATCACTTTGGATCGCAAACTTTATTAATGGTCAAAATAAACGATTGTCGTCATAAGCTTGATATTTCAAGCTTATGACGACAATCGTTTATTTTGCCTTCATTAATGACTTAATAGTACTTATTTAAAAGGTTTATGACGATAAAGGCACAGTGTAAATTCAATATGGTCAAACAGGGTCAAGAGCGTTGTTCTTGACACGAAATTTTGTATTATCAAAAATTTACTCTCACTCATTATCGATCGGGGCAAGTAGTTATTAAATACATATAAACTTACAAAACATGAAATTAAAAAAAAACCCAAGCTGCAAATCAAAAGTTCTGTCTTGAAGGCTTTTAGTAATTATGTTACATTTTCCATTTGCTAAATACACACTTTTGATAGTAGATGGGTAATAAAAATGGAAGAATAAGCCGTAGGAAAAAAAATAAGGTTGATTACCAAGGAGATGCTTAAGGACGAAAAAGGCGGGGAGGGAAGTCGTGTGAACCGTTGTATTTTGTTTAATTCTTCGGTTACAAACACGGAACACTTTTTTGTATACACAAAAAGAAATAAAAAGTTATATTTTATCGTTTAATATTTAAAAATCAAAACTTTATTGTAAATAATCATACAAATACCATGGAACCAAAAACGTAGGAATCAAAATAGCCTCACAAAAAAAAAACGAAAAAAACCCTCGAAAGAATGGCACGTTGTAGTGGATATATGGAGATATTACCCAAGAAGGGTTGATGTTAGAAAGAGGGCCGGTAATAGAACTCATTTCAAATCCCTATGCACCATGATAAGAGGACTTGTCCCATGTCCGAGTTCATACAGCGTGTTTGCCGCGTACAAATAAATAAATCTACTTCACCTTATTCAGAATATCTATTATACATAGAAGTTTTTAAACAGCTTGACACTGGCAAGAATAGCACCGAAAGAGGCCGATTTTCATACTGAAAAAAGGAGAAGAATATCAACTATTATTGCTTCACCCATCCAAACCATAACGCAAAGTTGCCTGTCAAGAAGGCACTAACTAAACTATAAATTAGTAATATACAACGAATTTATTTTAAGATGCATTGACGTGATTTGAAATACATTAGCAGTCGCAACAATCGATTCAAATACAACGATCATTTTATTCCCAAAGTCAACGATACTACAAATAATGTGTTACTAACTTTTACCTACAGAAATTTGCAACAAGACCAAAAACAGATCGATGTTTTTTCTTCAAATCGATTCTCCTTGCATTTAAAACGCTCACAAAAAAAAATTAAAAAAAAAATCCGGAAAATAAATTATAAGCCCTTCACTGAAATAGTGGAAAACTTTCTTGGCCAGTCCACCAAAGAAACTTGCAACACGCTTTACGTAACCAAGCTGATTAGACCGTAACGTTAATCGTTTACTAACTGCAAAACCGTCGTATTGTGTACTAAATACCGCCGAAAGATAGCGAGTTGAGACTGCAATACGTAGGTACGCTCATCGGGTTCGCGTTGTCGGCATTTGAAGTGTAACGATATAAGAAAATTAACGTTAATTAAATAATGATATACCTTTTTTTTTTTTTGTCAGGAGGAAATCGCCGGACTCCCACCCTCCACTGGGGATGGAGGGTGGGGCATGTCGGAGTCGAACCGAGGGGAGGAGAGTGAAGCGTTTAGTGCGGAGCACATCTCTCCCATCACCCTCCCCCTCGGGACGCCGGGCCAGCGGTCGTCGGCGCCACGACCACCAGCCCTCTCGGTCGGCAGGCTGTCCGAAGCCCGCCTAGATGGCGCCGGTTTGAATTGGTTATCCTACGAAATACCCCGCTGGGTCAGAACCAGCGTGGGTCGAGGATAGCCGGCCTTCCATCACCCGGATGCTCTTGCGTAAAANATTTTCAACGCTTGAAGCGCGTCCGAACTAACAATACACACGTCCGCACAGCGCAGGCCCTTTCGCGACATTAGTTTCACGTCGCGTCTACACTATGAAATTAGTTGCATGACACTAATTTCACCAAAAAATCGCGCAGGGCACGAAACTAATTTGCATGCATGAAATTAATGCATGCATTACGAAAGTATTAAATTACACGTGAAACGGTTGGTAAAACTAATGTCACGAAATTAATTTCACGTCACTAATTTCGTAATGTAAATTCGGCTTAACGCAAGGTTGCCTGTCAAGAAGGCAGTAACTAAACTGTAAATTTAATTAATTGTATTAATATACAAAGAATTTATTTTAATACGCATTGACGTGATTTGAAATACATTAGCAGTCGCAACAATCGATTCAAATACAACGATCATTTTATTCACAAAGTCAGCGATACTACAAATAATGTGTTACTCACTTTTACCTAGAGCAATTTGCAACAAGACCAAAAACACATCGATGTTTTTTCTTCAAATCGATTCTCCTTGCATTAAAATGCTCTCAACATTTAAAAAAAATCCGGAAAATAAATTATAAGCCCTTCACTGAAATAGTGGAAAACTTTCTTGGCCAGTCCACCAAAGAAACTTGCAACACGCTTTACGTAACCAAGCTGATTAGACCGTAACGTTAATCGTTTACTAACTGCAAAACCGTCGTATTGTACTAAATACCGCCGAAAGATAGCGAGTTGAGACTGCAATACGTAGGTACGCTCATCGGTTTCGCTTTGTCGGTATTTGAAGTGTAAAGATATAAAAAAATTAACGTTAATTAATTATTGATATAGGGCGTTTTGTTAATCCTAACCACATACTAAAAAAAAATTTCTGCTGCAAAACAATCTTTTACTTTTTTTTAGTATAGCAATTGGCTTCTTACGATGAAACTGTTGCCACTGTCGAGTTTATAAAAATCTTCCGTTAAGCCCAGACACCTATATTCTGTTTTATGAAAAAATTATATGGAGCAGAATGATACGAAGTTGATTTCTTTGAGACTGTACTAAATTGGGATGAAGCTAAATGAAACGTGACGAGATGAATGAAATCGCGATAAAAGATTGGTTATTCACCGAGATTTCTGTGGACTTTTTTGGAGGACTTGAGAAGCAATTTCACCGGTTTTGTTTCATTTTATCACATTTGTGCACTTCCAGAGATGGTAAACCACCATATTATGTAAATATAAATACATTAAATTAAGAAAAAAAGACATATAACTTCACTAATTCCGCTCTCAGCCAAATGATCATTTTGTCCGGATTAACTTTGAACTCAATGGGTGTCGGTGTTCACAATATTATCATATCTATAGGGAAAGGTATTTGGGGAATTTTTGCACCAAACGAATATCTTGGTAGACCAACGGTTTCAATGTTGTTGCTCAGAGCTTGTTTAGTATAAGCAAGGTCATCTTGAAGCTGCTATTACCGCTGTTCAGGTTTTTGCCTTATTTCTTCCATGAGCTGTAACCACCGTAAGCTGGTCTTTATCTATATTCACTATGATGGTGGGCTTCTTCCACTGTTAGTGCTGCCAGCTTCGAGTTCATCAAAATTTCTATTATTAGGTACTTTATTTAACAAAAAATGAAATAAGACGAAGTTTTTTTCGTTTCTTTTTGGATAGACAATAATACGACCCACTTGAAGGTAAGTAGTTATTGTTGCTTATGAGTACCAGTAGCAGCAATGTACTCGGCTAAAGAAGTAGATTTATTTGACATGAACACAATTCACAAAAGTTGGCCTCCAAAAATTCCCGCCAAAAATATCGACAATTTCACCTGTCATCTATAAGAATAAAATGAAACGAATAATAGTTTTTTTAGGCTTTTTTCTGTGCTTTTTGTGCTCTCGGTCTGCCCCATAGTACATACATATTATCCAATTAGGCAAAGAAGTACAATTTTGTCTCTAGCAACAAAAATAAGTCGTAGTGAACGACTTATTTTTGTTGCTAGAGACATTGTTTGTTTGAATTGTACTTGCTGCGTTGTATTCATACTGCTCCAAAACACTTTCACTGGCTCGGTTTAATTTTTTATTTGTATATTTTTTTCTTTTTGCAGATACAATAACTCCGAGGTACGTGGTGAAGTGCAGTGAACGTTCAGTGCTGTGGTTTTATACTGTGACAGTGTAGTGTTCGAAGGCTTCGTAGAAAAATGGTAAGTTTTTTTTTAAATATGAGCCAGTTTATAGACTAATGAGTGCTTAACGAAAGTATTCTAATGAATAAAATAAAATCGATTATTTCAATTAATAATTCGCAAGGTTTTAGATTCTTTTGCCAACGTTAAATAAATATGATAAATAAATAAATGAATATGATGAGAGTAAAATGTAATTATTTGATAAGATGACGTTTAAAAACGTTAAAATAAATAAAAAGCAATATATTTATCAGAACATAATTTATGCGAATTAAAATATTTTTAGTTACTTTAAATATAGTCTTGAGGGGACAGATGCTACCTTGTAAATTCATTCGATTTTAGATTCTTTTACCAAAAATAAATGAATATTTAACAACGAGAGTAATATGATATATTTTTTAAATACACTTTCTTGACTTCATTTATTTAAGTGATTAAATATAGTCTTGCTGGGGCAGATGTTACCAAAGACTGCCTGACTAAGCCTCGTGAGCTACCAGCCATGTTGAATAGCCAGAATAGCCCCTAGAGCTTACCGGCAGTTAAACAGGCAAAAAAGAAACGTCAAAACAAAAACATCGTAGGTCAACAATAGATACTTAAGTGCGTACACAGATCGTAACGTTATTACAACGCTTACACGGAAATCACGTTGGCGACATTAAATTGAAAACGTAGAACAATAGTAGAGAACAATATAAATGCATTCAGTAACTCTTATGGGTGAACTGAAGTGTTTTTTGTGAGACGTTTTAGACTTAATGTTGACGCTCTGTGAGGAGCTCGTAAAGGCTTTTTTTTTTATTGCTCATTTGTGTGGACGAGCTCACAGCCCACCTGGTGTTATGTGGTTACTGGAGCCCATAGACATCTACAACGTAAATGCGCCACACACCTTGAGATATAGTTCTAAGGTCTCAGTATAGTCACAACGGCTGTCCCACCCTTCAAATCGAAATGCATTACTGCTTCACGGCAGAGATAGGCGGGGCGGTGGTACCTACCCGTGCGGACTCACAAGAGGTCCTACCACTAGTAATTACGCAAATTATAATTTTGCGGGTTTCACTTTTATTACACGATGTTATTCCTTCACCGTGGAAGTCAATCGTGAACATTTGTTAAGTACGTATGTCATTAGAAAAATTGGCACTTGCCTGCGGGATTCGAACACCGGTGCATCGCTCGATACGAATGCACCGGACGTCTTATCCTTTAGGCCACGACGACTTCAAAATTCTAATTTGCACGGTTTTTATTATTCGTTTATTGTTTTTTTTTTAAATACTCATCATCATCAGCCTACATGGCTTGCCGCAATGACCGATCCCGCGCAGTCCACAGCCAGCGAACTCCTCCGCTTTTTTATAAATCTGTATATAAATAAAACAACATAATATATTTACAATAAATGTGTTATGATCAAAACGTATTGGAAACTTTGACCTGACGTCGAAACGTAGCTGGCGGTATACGCGATGTTGTGTCTATGGAGCCCAGCCACTGCTGCTAACGCCAAGTTGCGCCGTGATCTAAAGAATAGTGCAGTAGGGGCCTAAAAATCCTTGGGTCCGCAGTCCCAACATCTGGAGACCGCCAAGTCCCACATACCCCACGTGCCCCCTAGGAACAGACACGTCGTTTGAGGTGTGAATCCTTGCCCTAAAAAAATAAAAAAATCAAAGATAACAAAAAAGGCATAGGAATTAACCGTGTTACGTATATTCGCGGAGTTTGTAAATCTGATATCGTCCACGACATATTATTATTATGTCCGTACAAGGTTTAACAGTCGAAAGATATCTTTGTTCGTTAAATCTAGGTTAATAACGAAAAAAAAAAATGAACGTTAATTTAAATCGCGTGATCTACAACGTTTATAGCGGCTTCATAAACAGCGTGTGCGTTACGAATTAAAAAAAAAAAAACGACTGCATATTTCTTACGTTTTTTACTTTAAAAGAAATCAATTCACTGGTGGTAGGACCTCTTGTGAGTCCGCACGGGTAGGTACCACCGCCCTGCCTATTTCTGCCGTGAAGCAGTAATGCGTTTCGGTTTGAAGGGCGGGGCAGCCGTCTAACTATACTTGAGACCTTAGAACTTATATCTCGAGGTGGGTGGCGCATTTACGTTGTAGATATCTATGGGCTCCAGTAACCACTTAACACCAGGTGGGCTGTGAGCTCGTCAATCCATATAAGCAATAAATAAATAAAAAATGGCGATCACATTTACAAACGGATTTGACGTTTTGCTAATCTAATTAAAAATATTTTAAAGACAAATTCGGAGAGTATTACTATTGTTTACTAATACAGGATAGTTACAACAGATAAACGAATGAATGAGAACGAATGAATGAGATTCTAAATTCAACGGAGCCGCGCAGATTGAATTTTCGTCTATGTGTTGATATGGATATTGGAACTAACATTCTACATCTATATATTAATACGTGAAGGAAAACTTTGCATGTACCCCTTTTTACGAAAATTGCGCGGACGGAGGATTATGAAATCCACACTTATAGAGAATATCGAGAAGGTGTGCACATTGCTAATTTTTTTTTAAATTATGCATAAAAAATACAATAAATCAATAAAAAAAAACATTACACACAATACCATGTTTTTGACACACATACGAATATACATAATATTATTATACTCTTTTATTTATTGTTAAAGTATGTGGTCAAATTGAGAATAGATTAACATGGTTTGTCTTTAATATTATTTATCTATAGTGTTGTTTTGATGAAATCTGTGATTGCAGAAGTATAATAGGTCTTTGGCAATAGAACCAGAATAATGTTCTAACTTATAATTTCAATTAATTATAGTTGAATTTCGATTACTGCGGGACCACTAGTACTACGAAAGAGCTGTGTGCAAACATCGAATGACTTTATCAAAAGCCTATTGGCTCCGGGAATTGAACACGGGCAATGTCTTGGATGTATTAAAAAAAGATCGAAGTAACGGTCAACATAATAAAATATCAGTTTATATTTTTCAAATTAATTGGGCGGAAACATTGCCCGTAATGCGATCCAATAATATCTTAGAGAATATATTTAATTGCTCCCCATTCGCGTATGTTGGAACGCCGAGTGCTCAAAAACTACCGAAAGTATTATTGAACGGTGTTCAACAATGGGAAGGGTAATTTATTAGATTGAATACATAATTCATTAGGACTATACTGTGTTAATTGCTGTTAATATATGAAATGTGGCAACTGTTAAAAATGTCAGAAAAAATTAGAGCCGCTAGGAGCTCTACTTGTATGTGAACTAAACTAACAAAATTTTTGTGTAACTAAATTTTTCTTCTTCCCAAAAAGATTTATTAAGCCGTAACACGGCTGCATAATATCTATTTTTATAACAGACAGAAAGTAACCACAAATTTTCTAGAAAATGTTTGAAAAAACTTATTATCAAATTAAGCGAATTTTTGGGATGTTATTTACGTATTCTCATTCTATTAACTACAATAAAATTGTTTGTAAACGAAACAATTCAGGTCTGTATTTTAGTTGTTCAAAGTGTTGTTTGCGCCGCTGTTTTTGCGCGGGAAAAGTGCTCTGCTACCTGTACCTTAGGGTAGCTAGTATCTGATAATATTATAATTAAAGTACATATTATTATGTCAAATATTGTCTTACAAGCCTTCTTAATTAAACGAATTTTTTTCTCAAGTAAGTTTACGTATGTTGATCGAAATTAGTGCAATTTAAAGCTACAAATAAACCATAATTACAATAATGTTTTGAGTTAAATGAGTAAGCCTATTACTGGTGGTAGGACCTCTTGTGAGTCCGCACGGGTAGGTACCACCACCCTGCCTATTTCTGCCGTAAAGCAATAATGCGTTTCGGTTTGAAGGGTGGGGCAGCCGTTGTAACTATAGTGAGACCTTAGAACTTATATCTCCAGGTGGGTGGCACATTTACGTTGTAAATGTCTATGGGCGCCAGTAACCACTTAACACCAGGTGGGCTGTGAAGTCGTCCACTCATCTAAGCAATAAAAAAAGCTAGATTTAAAATGCTAACTCACAAAAAATAGGCTTTATATTTGGCTTTCGTATTTAAAGGATACCCTAATCTGTATTAAATTTATGTGTCTTTACAATGCAAATTCTCATAATATAAAGTCACATAAATCACAAAATTTTCAATTTGTGAAAAGCGCTGCTAAAATGACACATTCGGCCTACAATTACGAAGTTATATAAAACATTAAAAATTTGTCTTGTCATCTAAATGTACATTTATTTTAGTTTCAATGCCTAATATTTTTTGAAAGCCGCGTTACGTCGCTTGAAAGTTACGACTGAATAAAAAGAATGCCATTACCATTGCGAGTTTAAAAAAAAAGAACAACTTTAAGATTGAACGTTGTTCGAAGTTTGAATACTCATGACATAACGCGACAATCAAAACATTCTTTTCTGATTTTAAATAATCGCACTTATACGATTATGTAGTAATAACATCTTAATACTATCGCGTATTTAACATCACTATTCTAAACCGACGAACTCATTAAGCAAATCATCCTTCCTGTTCTTACGAAATTAGTTCCTCAATTTTTATTACAATTCCAAATGAATTTCAAATAGTCGTATTTAGTGATTGGAATGTCCAGTAAATTTTCTGTGGGATTAGTCGTTATTTTTAGTACAATAAGGCTCAATATGCCTTGATATTATTATGTTGAGCAATCAGCGAAAGTGCGTTCATATTTTTATACTCTCACTATCAAGCGAGGTCACGGCCGATATTTGGACAATAAAATAAAATGAGGCGCTAAATAAACGATAGAAATGACACACGTATAATAAATAGTAGGTATTCTGTGTTTTTTCTTTCATAATTCGATGCGAACATGCTTCGCAAAATAATTAGTTTTGATTTTAATGAGTATTTTCTAAAGCAATTTTTATTTATGTTCTGCTCAGTACCGAAGATAAATTAAGCTGAAAGTACATACCTTATTGTTT